ATCCACCATGAAATCAAGTCAAAAAAACGTCTCAATCCCGATTGATCTCATTATCGAGATCTTCTAGAGTTTGCCGGTCAAACCTATAGCGAGATTTCGTTGCGTATCGAAGGTTTGGTCCTCACTTCTTTGCCGTCAAGATTTCACAGAGTTGTTCTTTACCAAATCTTCAGCTCGTCCACAGCTCTTGCTCGCCAAAAAAACAAGGAGCTCTTCTTCTTTTCCGCAAATGAGCCTCAAAACCCTGATGAGAACTCTTCTGTTGTAATTGCCAATCATCTTGCGCATTTTCCCTGTGGTTGTAAAGTCTTTGCACCTGTCAATGGTTTCTTCTGCTTAGTTCTTGAAGATAAGAAGATCTTAAATGGCAGGGAATATAGAGAGTCGGTGTCGGTGATATGTAATCCTAGCACTCGACAATCCTTTACCTTACCCAAATGGAAAACGAAGAGGAGGAGAGGAGTGTGTAGCTATCTTGGATATGATCCTACTAAGAAACAATTGAAGGTATTGTCCACAACTTGTTATATGTTGATGGAACAAGTAGAAGTTTTGAGTTGTGGGTTCTAGAAGACGACGAAAAACAAGAATGGTCAAAGCATATATACGTATTGCCTACTTCGTGGGAGGATGTAGTTGGAGGGACCAAGCTATACTTTGTTGGAATTATTGGCACAAATGAGATTGTGTTGGCGCCGTACTACCATTCCATGCCTTGCTACATTTTCTACTATAATATCGAGAAAAACACAATGACAAAAGTTGTGATCCAAGGATCAGAAGCGTTCAAGGGTTGCAGTTTTATAACCTTTCTAAACTACGTAGACAACGTGATGCTTCTTCAAGAGTTGTAGGATTTTACAACATACATGCTTGGCTCTTTCTTAAGCTCTTATCATAAGAGAGTCCTTATTTCTCTCCACTGGTTTTGTGTAATCATCAGTTTTCTGACTTATTTGATGACACTATTTTTCCAGCTTCCTGTGATTTTTATGGTTACTATATGCATACCATTTTTCAGTTGTTCATATAATCTAGAGCCACATGGTTGTTCTAAGCCAAAAGTTAGCTAAATTGAGTTGTTTTATAATTTATAACGTTAAATTAACATATACTGAAAAAGCCAATGTTCATCAGTAACAATAAGCTCCCCAACACAGGCTAAACACAGATACACAATAAGACAAACATAATCAAGTTGTCCTGTCCAATAGCTAGCATCTCAAATAGATTAATACATAAACTCTGAGTTTATGATTACTTTTCAAAACCTATTAATAAACTATTAGGGATATATTAGTAACAAACTAATGTTTGTTTACTCTTTTTTGTTTTTGGAAATTAAATATATGTGGTTTCTCTCACCGTCTTAATATTTTCTTTCAATGCAGAGAAACCACTATGACTCTCATCTGTCCAACCATTGCCATCAATTTCTTACTAAAATTTTCCTCATCTGTCTATCCTTCCTGCTTTCAACGTTTCCTCTTTACAAAGAATCTTTGAAATCAGAGTAGGTTTCCATTTATGTTACAAATTATTTTCTATTGAATTCAATTTTTGAGTCCGAGCACATGCACTCCATCATCTTCTTCTACATCATCTATTCCTATATAAACTACTACCATATGATATCCTCTAAGCAAAAGCAATCAACCCTAAATTTCTTAACTCTAAACCTATAAAAAGGCCACCTAAAGCAAGCAACATTGTTGAGATTGTCAAACAAATCTCTCTTTCGTTCATCAAAAGAGTGCCATTGTCAAGATTTTCTTTGAAAGCCTTCCGGTTGGAACAGAGACTGTGACTACGATTCACGGATGAGAGAAACAAATCCCCAAAAGGAACAAGCTTGTAGCACAAGAAGAAGTATGGGTGTGTTTTTTTTGGTACGTAGATCACTTCTGCTTCTTGGTGCTACTGTAAGGCTCTGCCTCCTTGTTCCTTTCCGACATTTGCTTCTCCCATCCGTGAACCGTTGTCACAGTCTCTGCTCCCACCGGAATGCTGTCGTACAAAAACTTGACGATTGCACTCTTCTTGATGAACTTAAACCTAAGAGAAACAAGGGAACAGAGAAGAAGCTTACAAGTGAATTCTTGTCAATCTGTGCTAATGTCATTATGAGAGAAAGCTCTTCTTTGGGAGCAACAATTACTATTGTTTATTACTGTTGATGACTTTTAGCTCGTTGAATCTTGTCAATTTTTTGAGTGACTATTGAATATGTTTTCTGTGTTGTCTTGATCTTTATGGATACTACATGTTCAGTGGTTCATATATGAAACTTGCTATACTCTCTTTCTTGTGCATTCATGTAATCAGAAGAATCTTAAGAAACAGAGGACAAATGTTTCTTTTTCTTTATTATAGTAAGGTCTTCTCTAGTATCCCTATAATATATTATATATGTATTGATGAGTTGATGCTTGTAATGTGATCTCTCTGCCAAACTGTGAAACTCGTTTAGCTAGTTGCCAAACTGTGAAACTCGTCCAGCTAGTTGTTGATTTTGGTAATCGCGATCCAAATGGTCTACCTAGACTGTAGGCTTTACAATAAATCAAAAACTTGTATCAGGATCAACGTTTAGACCAATTTGGAATGAGTTGTATTATTTATTTTCTGGTATTGTGGTTGCTTTTCAGGTTTGGAGATTCTTTACAAAACTTGGCAATATGCTCTGCTTCTTGGACTGTTTCCTAGCAATGTGCTCAACGTAGCCTGGTGATCAAGATCACCACGGGTTTCAGAATGGAACCGCATCTCACAACCTCTACTTTTAATGATTTTCAGAACATGGTTACTACTTTTTGATGATTTTCTATTTTTCTTTGCTACGATGAAATGAGGGTAGATAATGATCAAAGAGAGAAGAGAATTGAAGGGTTTATATAGAAATTTTTCATCTTCATTATTAGAGATTCGAAAGTGAAATTTATTGTGAGCTCAAATTCGCGTTATCCAAATTAGAGAAACCACATTAAAAAAAAAAGATACGTTCATTATGGTATTGAGGCAATGAAAAAAGGTTAACATTTGGTTTCAATATTGAAGTTGCAGAGTAAGCAACACTGCATCTCAATAAGTCCCCGTTAGATGATCACGAGTCATCTTTAAATTGCAAATGAATAATCAAGGTAGATACCTCTAGGATTATATAATTCATAAAAAAAAGCATGTAGGAATTATTTTTTGCTTTCATATGAGTGAAGTTGATGGAG